GGATGGGTGTATATGGATGGATGGATGATACCATTGCATCGCTTCTCACTGTGAGAGCTGTTTCATTGGATATTGACAGTTCACCAATACTCCTGAGAATCCCTACGTGATGCCAGAGATTGTAGATGCTCCTCTGACAGAAAAAGGACGACAACAAGCATTATTACTGCAATCAGTGGTCAAGGAAATGTCGACCAAACCAAACCTTGTGGTGCTATCCCCCAACTGTCGTGCGATCCAGACCGGCCTACTGGTATTTGAGGAGCTCCTGGAGGCAGGAATCCCATTTTTGGCCCATGAAATGGTCCGCGAAGAGACCGGCATCCATGTTTGTGATAAAAGACGGCCCAAAAGTCGACAAATGAAAGAATTCCCACAAGTGGACTTTGGCCTCCTGGAATCGGATGACGATGTCATTTTTCGTAACGACCACCGAGAAACCAAAGCCGAAGTGGGAGGGCGCGTTTACAAGTTCATGGAATGGTTGTCCGGACGTGATGAAAAGGTGGTTGGTGTTGCTTCTCACTCGGGATGGCTCTTGACCGTCTTTAATGGCATTTGTGAGTGTGATGAAAAGTTGAAGGGATGGTTTCAAACCGGAGAAATGAGGAGCGTCAAGCTTTCGTTCGTTCGCAAGTAAAAGTACTAGACTTCTCCAGTATCTGGTCTTGCAACTAGCCATGACAGCTACCTTTTAAAGTGGGCTTCCAAGATCTAGGCACGAAAAAAATTCGCCAAATGAAGTTCAATGATTTAATCAATCAAATTTAACCAAAGCCATGAGCAAGCACAATCAAGTCCCTTGCACCTCCTGGGTTCAAATGCAACTTGTACGACTGTACGATAAGACTGCACGTACCGATACAACTGCGACCAAGCTGGCAAGCTACACTTATGCACATGGATGGCAAAATGGACCGGCTGGAACTGCGTTGAAGTCAGGATCCTCTGTCGTGGGGCAAGCTGTGCCTACGAACATGTCTTTTGTGGATGGAATGCCTTGTTGGTAGTCCAGGAGCCCCCAACTGCACAGATTCTGGTTGAATGTCTCCAATCCCTGAAACAGCCCTTCAAAGCTGGTGGCATTGGATACATCCCAACTGAAGCACAGAGAATCGGTACTACAGTGTAAGTCTGGCAAAGCAACTCAAGAGAGAATGAGAATGCAGCATGCAATTCAGTGCACTCCACCTACCTGGAATAGTCAAATGGCACATTGAACTGTAAAAGAGATCACGAAAGACCGACGAGAAGTCATCGACGCGGGTGACACACCATTCTTCAAAGGGCCAACCGTGCAAACCCGCTGCAATGCTGTTGGAAGCTTGATCCATGGAAAAGGAACCATCTGCAAGCGCCCACGGCAAGAGATCAAGCCATGCGTCCTGTAGGTACGCTGTGGATTCGAAGCAATGTTTTCGCCGCGGTGGTACGACCACAGAATTGCACTGATCGGTCGAGCAACTTTCACAAGAAAGGGAATCCCTCCTACAGGGTCTTTCCTGGCCAGGTCTGCAACCACCTTCGAAGCGTAGGTAGCCTTCCCAGTCGCGGTACGAGTAAGTTTGGCAATGATACGAAGATCTGGTTGAACACTGTTGGGTCTGGTTGGTGGCCAGACCGACCAATTCGGAAGACGCGAAGTAGTTGCACGAAAGTGTGGGGTTTGTTGGGGCCTGTGCCACAGGGGCAGCTGTTGGGTCATCAATGGCGGGTGGAGGGGTAGGGTCTGGAGTTGGAGCTTTTGTTGGTAGAGGAGTAGGTGTTGGTGTCGGTAGGGGGGTAGGTGGTGGTGTGAGCGCAGAAGTTGGCGGTGGATTTGGGTCAGGAGCAGTGCAAAAATCGCACATGGCGTCTGAATTACCTCCATCAATGTCTCCTTTAACGTCATCGTAGGTGCAACGAAAGCTTCCATTGACGTTAGGACAGCCAAGAGCCCGAGCTGCGTCTGTGGCACTCACGCTGTCAGAGACAAACTCACACACACCGGAAAAACGTTCGGCTTTGAATTCGAGACCATTCACGCCACAAACATTCTCGCAACTCAGGATGACAAAGAATGTATCATCTTCACTGCAAGACTGCAATTGACGAGCCTTCAAACCAGTGCTACTGGCACTTCTTGTAGCAGCGGGTGTGTTGAGCGGTTCCGTGGACGGGTTCTTCGGTTTGCGATCATTGTTTGAGCCTCGTATCAAGGCACTGCCGCTTCCGAGAGAGGTTGCGGCCAGGAACAAGAGGGACGAGAGACGAGGATTCTTCATGGTTGCATAAAGGAGCAAAACAATGCAGCGGAAGTACGAAGCATCAGCTGAAGATTGTTGATCGCATTCATTTCATTGATTCTCGTTTTGGTATTGTCCAGAACCTGCATCACAGCACCTACCAAAGAAGCTATCACAGACAGTTCTGGGATCTTGTTCGTTGTTGTAGAACATGCACCCCTTCGCGGAAATGTAATTCTTGAAAGTTATGTCCAGGTGAGACTTGGATACCGGTACCTGTACCGGTACCGGTATCCATTCTTTAGGCTACTGGAAGTATCGAAGGAGATACGGTACCTACCACCGTCCTGTTGCACTGTTACAACAAGGAGTCGAATGACAGCAGAATTCTCATTCTCGCTAGCTGAAGAAAAAAGGATTCTCAAGAATGATGCATCAAGTCAACTACAAGCAAGTTGCTGGGCATAGTTGCCTTGGACTGAATACTCATACCTGGAGAGGGTTGCAGGCAATGAGAACCCACAATGATGAGTTGAAAGACAATTCCAACCATGCTCTTCTTCTTGTGTCATCACTGTCCCAGAAACCAAAAGGTAAAAAGATTCTTAAATTATGATTCAGGGAAGCATCCAATCTGGTTCTTTTGACTAAAAGATTGACCAGTTTCCAGATCCTCGCAGCAGTACAGTACACTTGTGTACCGGTCAGAAGGGTTATTGGGGAACCACCCCCATGTCACAGCTTGACTTCCGCACGATCTTGCTGTGGCCTGCAGGTTTTCTTTGCAGGAGGCTTCCACCTTCAACGACTGTGGAATATGTTGAGTGAAAATAGTGAGGTTTATTAGGTAGTGACTTTGAACGTTTTCACGGCGAGACTTGCATACATGCACCATAAAAAGAACGGTCTCACCTTACGCGACGGAATGGCGCTACGTACAATGATCTAGTTCCTGTTGGCTGCACTATGCATTTCTTTGCTTTGTCTCAGATGTTCGTTTCATGCAAGCAGATCTGGCACTCCTCGATCTGCCTCAGGTTTGGGTGGGGTTTGCAAAGCTTGTGTTTTGGGGGGGCTTTGATTGGAATTCAAGATGTACTAGTACAACGCGTTCGCTTCAAACCTATCTGTGCGCAAGTTGAATGAATGTGAACCATCTAGCTAACTAGATATGACTGCCGAACAGTGCTTATGCTCAACCAAGGGCACGACGAATGTTGTCTGCAGATCCACCATTCTGGCTGTTTGCGTAGCCCAAATCACGAAGATACGCCGCTGCTCTCCGCCCCAGCTTCAGCCTACATTTACATTCCGGGACGAGGGACTCCAGAATAAGGCTTGTGGAGACACCAGTTTCTGTACTGAGCCTTTTGCTCAGGAGGCCGGTGGTACCTCGGACATCCAACCAACTCCCAAACGCACAGGACAAGCTTCAAAACCGCAACTACCAATCGAGCTCCCTAATAAACGCCTGTTCAGACTCGAAGGGTGGCGTCTTCTGGGAGAATTTCCGTGTCGGCACAAGTGCCGCCACCGTCAAAGCTTGTGAGGGCGAATTTGCTCGCTGCTTCCTCGACGTTCGACTGGTCGCCGAGGATTTGGAGCAGTGTTGGAGTGCGGCCGAAGCTTGCACACCACACGCACCAGCGGAAAGGCGCACAACTCGGCACCAAGAAGCCGCAAGTAACACCGAAACCTGGACTGGACAGAACCCTCTTCGTCTTCTTCTGCCTTTTCTAAGAACGTTTGGCTGCACTCAGAAGAGAGTCGAGTCAGTGCTGGGAGACAACGCTAAGACCGCAACAGTGGAAGAACTCAGGCACAAGACTTGGCTTCTAGCTTGCCAAGTAAAACAGAGAAACAGAGCAAAGGACAAGCAGCCAAGACGGAAGAAGGAGAGCGCAAGCAAAACCAAAGGAGGGCTGGGAGTCGAGCAGGAGACCGACCAAAGGGACTGCAAGGGAAACCAAGCTTGACAGGAGCAGGACAGTTAAGAAGGGTAGTTGGTTGGGAGCCGACAGGATGCTTGAGTTGGGAGCCAAAAGGTGGTACAGAAAGGGTTGAGTTTGGGAACCAAACGAGAGCTTGAGTTGGGTGTTTGCTGGGAACAGAAAGGGTTGAGGGGTGAGAGAAAGGCAAAGCCAACGAGGGCTGAAAGCACCCAGCTGAAGCCCACAAAGGTGCCGTGGGGACCGGGGGCCAACGCAACAAAGTGGAAGTAGTTTAGCTAGCTAAGGAGAGAGAAGTCACTTTGAGTCCAGTGATTTGAACCAAAGCAAAGTGCCCAGGGTCAACCAAAGCAAGAAGAGGAACCATCAACAAGTGCAACTTGGCCACTCCAAAGCTTCCCCAGTACAAATTGGCTCCGAGCAAGCATCACTTCTTCGCGTCAGCTGCAGACACACGCGCCGCCGAAAGAACAAAGGACCAGAAGCGAAGACAAGGTTGCGAGCGCCAACTTGAAACAAGCTTGACCGACCGACCGACTGACCGACCAACCAACAAAGAAATGAGGAAGCTTTGAAGCAGCCCTCCAGAAACGGTCACTTGACTCCACAAAGAAGGAAGGGGAAAAGCCACCACCAGGAAGGAAGTGTTGCAACTTTCACGCTTTCAACCGAATCTTCGCTGAAACAAAGTGGTTCCTGGTGGTGGTTCCTGGCTGTTGGATGGTTCCTGCTGGTGACATTAGTAGTTTTTTGCTCTAACGAGCCAGCATTCATGTTGGAAGGCGTCCAGGTTCACTCGAGAGGGTGTTCCTTGCCGTCTTCGCTGAACCAAAGTGGTTGGTGGTTCCTGGTGGTGGCTCCTGGCTGTGAAGCGGGAGTGTCCCGACGGTCGAGTCCAAGGCCAGTCGCAGGAACAGGATTTCCGGCGGAAGACTACACCACGAGTGGAAGTGGTGGTCCTGTCCAAGACGAAGAAGCTGCCAAGAAGAAATGACGACCACGCCGCTACCGTACCAAGCCGAACGGTCGCTTGAGGCCTTGGAATCGTCTCGTTTGTCCAGAAGAAGGCGACCCACTGGCTCGCAACGTCCTCCGGCGGCAGAGCCGCGGCGTGTCCAATTCCTTTGCGGTGGCTCTTCCTTTTCCTTTGTGGTGGCAGCAAGCTACTCAGCCTCTGTTCGTGCGTGCTCACGCTCAGTGGTTCTTCCACTTGGCAGTGGCTCTTCTCTTTGGTGAGTTCTTTGGTTGCTGCCCTTCGGGGAGTGGGTGTGTTGGTGTACTGGTGGAAGGCTGCTCCGATGCTTCCTAAAGTCATTGACATGAAGAAGGAATGCATGGTTTGGTTGGTTTGGTTGGCTGCGTTGCGTTGCGTGTGGACTAATGTTGCCTAAATAAGAAAAGGCAGAATGGAACGAAAGAGGTTAGACTTGAGCTGAGAACAAAAGCAAAAGCAAGGCGCATGCATGCATGCATGCATGTCACTTTGGTTCAGTGAAGTGAAGAAGGATAGGCTTTGTAAAGTTTCCACCCCCTCCACTTCCAACGCCGTTTATGTTGACTCGCAAGGAGCAAAGAATTACTAATGTCATGCATGCATGCATGCCATTCGCTAGCGGACCGTACCTGTTTGTTGTTGATGAACCGACCGTTGCCTTGCACGAGGACGAACCACCATTGTCAACATGGATCAGACCTACGTTGGGAACTAAAGGAGATTGGTTTGGTTGGTTGGGTTGGTTGGTTTGGTTTGGTTTGGTTGGCTGCGTTGTGTGTAGACTAATGTTGCCTAAATAAGAAAAGGCAGAATGGAACAAGAAAGAGGTTAGACTTGAGCTGAGAACAAAAGCAAAAGCAAGGCGCATGCATGCATGCATGCCACTTTGGTTCAGCGAAGTCAAGAGGGATAGGCTTCAAAAAGTTTCCACCCCCTCCACTTCCAACGACGTTTATGTTGACTCGCAAGGAGCAAAGAACTACTAATGTCATGCATGCATGCCGTTCGCTCGCGGACCGTACCTGTTTGTTGTTGGACCGCTGACATGCCGGGCAACAGGAAGAAGACGAGGACGAACCGTCCATGGTGGGAGAGCTAGCACCGGCTGTGATATCAGACTTTCTTTCTCATTGCAAAGCGAGACTGTTTCTTTTGTCTAAGAAACGGCAGAATGGAAATCAATGGTTGCTTGGCCCAAGTCTCTTCTTCTTCCCATTGGCTCCTTGGCGCACACATTGGTCGGTGGTTTGGATTGGTTTGGTTGGTTTGGATGCGTGCTGGCAACGGCTGGGAAAGTTTGGAGAAAGGAAGCTTTTTGGCCGCTGCAAGAGCTGCCAGTGGAGCTCATGAAAAGTTGTCTGTTGGACGAGGCGGTCGCTTGGAGTTCGATGGCGTTGCTACGAGAAGGCAGAATGGAAAACCAACGGTTAGACTTGAGCTGAGAACAAAATCAAAAGCAAGGCCGCATGCATGCATGCATGTCACTTTGGTTCAGTGAAGTGAAGAAGGATAGGCTTTGTAAAGTTTCCACCCCCTCCACTTCCAACGCCGTTTATGTTGACTCGCAAGGAGCAAAGAATTACTAATGTCATGCATGCATGCCATTCGCTAGCGGACCGTACCTGTTCGTTTTTGATGAAGTTGTTGAATGATTGTCTTGGTGATTGTTGCAACCAACTCACTGCTGCTCCACGTGTGCCACTTGCAAGAGTAAGGTGGTGCGCTTGGACTCGAAGAAGATGCCGGAAGGCTTGTGGACTAGTCGGTGGAGGACTCGCAGTGGCCTTGTCTTCCTTGGTCGTCCGAGAACTGAGTTGACGGTGTGGACTTCTCTGTTGGGGAGCCGACAATGCTTGGTTTTTGCCTTGGAGGAGTGTACGAAATTGGTGGCTGCTCTAAATGCTTCCCTAGTACAAATTGGTTCCGAGTACAGTACATTCCTGCTTCACGTCAATGACTTGAGGAAGCACTCGGAGCAGACCACCAGGTACACTTGTCACCCACGCACTCCCAGTCGTCGCAAGAACTCAGCACTCACGGCGTTTGGTTGGGTCTTGGACTACTAGTACGAGAGATGCCACTCCGTCTTGAAGCGAACCACCGACAGCGAATGAGCAGCAACGGCCGCCTTGGACTTGACTCGACTCGACGCAACTCGGACCAACCAACGACACTCGGACTTTTCCAAGCAAGCAAGCGACACAGCGACACATCAGCCAACCAAAAGTCCGAGGATGAGCAAATGAAGAAGCCGAGGACGAACCAACCAAGCAAGGTCATCGGACGAGCACAAATGCAAATCTGGCGACCGCACTTGTGGCACTTCTTGCTCTTGTCACCAGAATCGAATCGTCGCCGTCCTTGCTTGAATGAATTGTCGTCGCCATCGTCATCGCCGTCGTCGTCGCCGGGAGATCCGAAGAAGATGAAAGAGGGCAGAAGAAAGGATTTCGTTAGTAGACTAGCTAGTAGACTGAAAAAGAAAAAAAGAACATGCTGCCTTTTTGCTGCCTGGCCCAACCTGCACTGGGGTCTCCCTCGAAAGATTACCCAGTTCAAGTGGGGTTCCGGTCTCCCGTCCATCCTGACACACCACCACTCCCAGCCAACAATACACGAAGAACTCACCATTTGTTCTGTCTGTGGAGACTCGACTCTTCTGTTTCATCTCTGTCTTTGGCGTCGGCGTACTGTAGAAGAGTGCCATGGTCCTTTCGTTCCTCAAGAGGAGTTTGTGAGGCGAACGAAGTGAAAAGTTTCTTCTTTGAGGCAACGCTCGTTTCAAAGTTGGACAGTGCTAGCTAGTATTGCGGCAAACTTTTAAAACTAGCCGTTTATGCCAAACTGAGTCGAGTCTTGTTTGCTTTTCCTGTCCAAACGAGAACCGCACCAAGGGAAGGTGCGAAGTGCTTTTTTGGCTGTCATGTTGTTGCGTGTGATGTTTGTTGGTGGCGCACTGAATTGCATTGGTTGCTTCCAGGAAGAAGAAAAAGAAACAAGCAAGAAGGATGCATGTCTCTTGCTTGCAGAGAGGACGAACGAATGATTGCTTTCTTTTTGGATTGGCACGCTTCCTTCGTTTCACGCGCCTTCCCAAAGGATAGTCGTCTGGTTGCGTTCCTGTTGTTGTCTACTAGGATGATGGATACCGTACATGTAAGGGTACTCTTGATGCATGGGCTGCCAAAGAAGAAGACAAGAAGACGACGGTTGTTGACAACTTCTTGATCGATGATGATGGGCTGATGTGGCCGTTTGATCCCTCATTCTTGTGACCATTGAAGAGCACGTAGAAATGGTACGGTAATCTGCAAAGGTTCTGCAATAAAGCTCATACTCCTTAGTGCTCCTGGATTAATTGAGATGCTTAAGCGCTGGATTGAGATACTAATTCTTTTGATCCATTCGCGGTCTAAGAATGCATAGGGCTTAATTGAACAGTTCTAATCGGAGAGTGCACTCTGGACTGTAATTAAGAGTATTCAACTATTCAACGTACTAGTAAGATGCGACTCTAATTCTGAGGTTCTGAGGGAGTTCCCGCATAAAAGATCCAGTAGGAACACAGCAAAAGCATCTTTTTTCTTCATATGACATGTGGCAAGTCAACCAGGCTTTGCTGTGTTGCTCCCTTGCTGTGCATGATCAACAGTTTGAAGGCATTGGCAAAGGCCCTACCAATTTGCATCCGTCTTCTTCCCAACCAACCCTCGACTCGAGCTCAGCATACATATCCGAGAGCCACCCTTCTTCACATCTCCCCTTCCCTCTTCTTCTCTAGCCAGATACTATTTGTTGTCTATCAAGATGATGCACCCAATTTCGACGAACCCCAACAACATTGTGCGAGCGGAAGAGTTTCTGCAGGATTTGCAAGATGAATGTTTTGATTTGGCGCACGAAGAAAAAGAGGCCGACATGGAAGATATCGACATGAACAACTCCACTCACAACGCGCCTCCTCCGAAACCCCAAGTCGACAAGGACATGCTCAAATTGACCACCATGCCGGCACGATCGTATACCCGCGACAGCCGTCGTCATCACAATAGACTGGGAGGCGCTCCGCCTCGTGTTTCTACTTCCTCTACCAGTGGCAGTACCACCAATTTTGTGACGACCCTTTGGAATCATCGAGCCCGCAATTCCTATGTCGATCAGAGTGTCAATTTGATGGACACGGGGTTTGGCAGCACAAATGCTAGTAACGCGAGTCGCCATGCATACGCGGCCGCTCGTTCGGGACGATTGGAAGATGTCTATTTGCACGATGGATCCGAAATGGGACGCATCAGTCGCATGCCGCGGAGTTACAGTGAACGGCACATGATTGTCAAACCACACGAAGAACGACGACGACGATTTGCTTGTTTCATGATTTTCGGTGTCGTCTTGCCGACTGTCTTGGCCATTTTGGTCGTCACGTCCTCGAACGCCAATGCCATGTTTTTGCGTGCTACCAATCACAACAGCAACAATAGTACATCTCTGGAGGAGCCCGTCGACAACAACACGACACTGGTGGACACCACCATTGACATTGAAGAGGTGCCATCCGAGGAGGTGATTGAACTCGAAGAGCCTTCTGTGGACGGCGAGGGGGAAATTGAAGAGGATCCGTCTGAGGAGGCGACTGAACCAGAACAGCCTGAAATTGAAGGCGAGGGGGAACTCGACCCGGATTCTGAACATTCAAAAGAAGAAGAAGGGACTGCGGCAGAAGAGGAAACTCCTGCAGTTGAAGAGGAGAATACTCCTGATGTGGAGGCAGTCGAAGAAGAAGATGTGAAACCTTCTGAACAAGGCGACCAGCCAACAGAAGAAGACGAATCCTCCAATCAACAGGATCAACCCAACCAAGACGAAACAGACCAATTCACTACTCTGCAACAAGATGCTGCTGCGCAAAACGACAAAGTCGAAGAAATTGAAGAAGAAATTACCATTGCGCGGTCCGGAAACGTACAAGAAGCTGAAATTACCACCCCGGAAGGCGACACGGAAATTTTTACGCCGTCCGGAATGACGGTTAAAAAACACACTTCCAACGCAAAAGAAGAATTGGCCGAGGTCGAAATGGAGGCCAAACAAGACGAACAACAAGCCAAGGAATTGGACGAGGAAGCCAGTGAATTGGAATCGGAAGCCAAACAAGCAGAGGAAAAAGCCGAAGAGGCAGAAGAAGAGGCGGAAGAGGAGGGAACGCCCGACGCTAAAGAGGAAGCCGAAGAAGAGGAATTGGATGCCCTCAAATTGGAAAACACGGCCCGGCAAGCCGACGAAGAAGCCGAAGAGGCCGATGCCAAGGCGGAAAAGGAAGAGGAAGTCTTGATGGAAGACTTGGCAGAAGAAAACCAGGAGACAGAGGAGCAAGGTGATGGACAATAATAGTCTTTCGTCACAAAAATTATTACGGGAGGCATCGGACTGGGAGTGTTGTGCTCGCTGTGGCGAGCTGTGACGGAACTCTTTCGGACGACGATCCACTTCATCCATCGCAAAAGGGCAAAGCAAGTAAATGGCAATTCTCTTGACAATTCAAGAACGGCAGGCCTAGAAACATCCACTACATATTCTAAAATCAGCACTCAGAGTTAAAACGTTGAAACGAGAAAAGATGTAGAGATGCATCTCTAAGATACGAATGGCAAGCCAATTTCTGTCTCATCGGACATTTACGCGCTTGTCTTCGGTTACCGGTACAGTAGGGATGAAACCAAGACAAAAAGGCCCGAAAGAGGAACCATGCGATCGTACGCCGGGTATCAAGTTGATCTCGAAGAGCTCTTCCTTCAGTGAGGCCCTGCGGGTTTCCAGTCAGAAGAAGCTCGGCATGGGCTCTTACCATGTTCCCAAGTAAGTAGCATTAACGATTCTCTGATTTCTGTTTGGGATGCGATGCCGACAGTACTGTCGCCCTTCTCAGCATGGTTGATAGCTTTTGCGCCGATCATTTGTTCGTATGGCTGTGTCTTCGTCGGAAGCAAAGGTCAGGATCGAATATGGCTCGCCGGGCCCCCATTCCGGCAGCCACTGCAACTTATCAGGCCCGCTGGAGCGAATGCAGGTGTTCGTGATGAGGGATGGGTTTGTTTCATAAACCTCTCCGTATGGCATTCGAAGCGTGTTAATCGTACTAAGCTTGACTGCCGTAGGGGAGCCGCCCGCGAGGTATCTTTGGATGTCTGTAATGCAACTTGTTTTGCGGCCCGCATCCGCCACGTTACCGACCCAACCCCCAGCAGCTTTGGCCGCCTCATACAACTTTTCCAAAGGTTGAGACTTCATGTCAATTCCCATGATTGCCTCCAGAACTGGACCATTGGAAGGTGCGCAAGTATCAGAGTCGGGAGTTTGATGAGCATCTTCGCCATTGATAGCACCGAATAGGTCTCTTTTCCTCCTACCCCCGCCTTGGAAGCTAACTCCTGACCCCTGGCTGTTGCTTCCTGTCCTGGAGCTTGAGCGAGGCTCCATAAGCCCAAGAGAAACGAGAAGGGAACATATACTTGAAATGTGCTGTTCTTCCGAATCACGGCAATCGCGTCGTAACCGCCAACATCTGGCTGAAGCACCGTAGCACACAACTGATTGCTGAGACTGTAGTACATCCCCTCGGAAGCACGAGCTTTTTCGTAATCTTTTTCGAGATCCACGGCCATGGCAAATTGTTTACTATTTGGTTGTGAGTCTGCTGTTGTTTGCTGCAGGCTTGTGGGTTGTGGAGAACGATCAGACTGGAGGTGTGACGATCTTGCGTTTCTTGGTTGGGGATGACTTCTCCCAAACACGGAACGTGGAAGAGTTTCCACGCACTAGCTAGTTAGTAAACAGAAATCTCAGGGACTGAATTTAGGAACGCAACACTTGCAACCTCCAGTTATACACCTTAGAGCTATTGACTTCGATAAAGGAACCCTTTCATATAGCTTACTAGCTAGTAAAACATATGTTGAGGAGCACAAGCTGGGTTTCCAAGACGCAGCCACAAAACAGTGGGTGCTCTACTACATGCACACTCCTACCTCGCAGATAAGCCAATTCTATCTGAGTCCTGTACTGGAAGTATCTCAAAGGATTCATCAACAGGCACACTTAGTCATTATCTTACAAGCAGCCAAATCTCATTATCTTTTATATCATATAGCCACCAGCAGCTATTGTCACATACCATACTACTCACCGTGCCCTCAGACAGCAAGGAGCTACTGCCAGAAGGCTTAGGTTCAAAGCCAAAATTGATAAAGCCAAAGATGTTGTTCTAGAGGAGGCACCCCAAGATGGGGATATGGAGGACTTGGATGTAGATGGTGATGTGGAAGATAGTGGTTAATAGCTGTCCTCACTCCCAACATAGTAGTACTGTAGTATTTTTTAGATTAAGGGGGGTTTAGAGTAGGGAAAATTATCTACGGAAGCCAGCCGGGGCCAGGCTTAAGCAAAGAACAGTCGAAATTCAGGACTAGGTTCTGTGGGATCAGGGGCAAGAAATGGAGGACCATTACGGGGGGCAAAGGGTTTGGCTTTGCGGGATCCACGGAGACATAAATGGGTAGCTTTCACAAGGGCAATTGAGATACGGGTCTGCATGAAGAACATCATTTGAGAGTAGGAAAATTGAGTTTTGGAGGCAGTAGTATTAGCTTAGGATTTGAGACATTGGTACTCGTAGCTGATCTTACTGGTTTGGGAAATCTGAGCGTCTAGATTATCTATCTTTTAACTGTTTCTGTAAATCTGACCACTCGGTATCTTAAACAAGCTTATCTTAAGTGTGAGTGAGGAGTGTAGTAGCTACCGGCATAGCCCAAACCGAAACCGTGCGGTACAACGGGAAATGACCTCAGATACAAGCTGGCACCAAGCACCAACCAGACAAGAATGAATTTGCAATAGCCTCGGCAACCCTGGTGGCTCAAATTGGGCCTCGTAACTGTTTTTGAACAGCAGTGATGTAGCATGTAGCTGATCATGCAGGAATTGGGCACAGTTGTCAAGGCTACTGTTGCTGCAGCCCCCAATATCCATCCAAACCGGCAGCAGCTTGCTCCTTGACCAATCTTTGAAAGTATACCAAGCAGAGCAATCTGGCAGTGTTCCCCGTCTCGTTGTACTTTCTTGTTGGACTCGGCTACTCGACCGAGTCACTCATCCTGCCCTTGGTAGTTTTAAAGTACTAGTACAAGCAGCTGGAGGTCGTCTGTGGCTTTCTGGTTTTGGTCTGATGGTGCCGCGCGGGTGCTCGCGAGGGGTCGCGCGTTCGCTGGCGTCCTCTACTAGAGTGGTGTCTCCGGCTGGGTTATATGTCACGAGATAATCCCTTTTGCCAATCCTACTTTCGTATGGTCAGCAACTCAACAGCCCTTCCATACCACGCGATGAAACTTTCATGGTCTGGCCGCAGGGGAACCTGCCACAATGATCTCAGGTTCCGATCCCCTCAAGGCCCTGCTTCCACGGTCACGGATGCATCTTTGCTGTCAGCGCACATGATGCCTGGAGGGCATTTTTCGCCTCTTTAGGATAGTTCCCTCCACAGCATTTAGCTGGAGCACGACCCCCGAAAGGATCATCATGACAAAGGATCCGATCTTCATGGTGAACGGAGGGGTTTCTATTTCCTTCTGTTTGGGCACTTCCGAGTCTGTATCTGTTGTGGCTTCTGTCAATTTGTGAGCTTTGGATTTCTGAAGTATCGTTTGTTTGCTTCGAAGTGAGTTCATAAAGTGCTTGGAGCTTCGTCCTCCATTACGATCAGATGGTGCAGAGGACGAATCCTTAGTTTACTGGTATAATGTAAGTTGAAGACCACAAGCTCGGTTTCGAAGACACAGCAACATGACAGTGGCCTCAAGAACAAAACAGAAGACAGGCGATGGCACCTTTAAAAGATTGGTTGGTGAGCACTGTCTAGATAGCTCAGCGTCCACAAGGACAATCACAGCCACAGAGAATCTCTGAGCATGAATAATCAAGTACATCCAATTTGCCGCTGTTGCAGATTTGGTTGGGGATAGTGCCACTGATCATTGAACCAGACAAATCAAGAACTTCCATGTCTGGAAAGCTGACATTGGGTGGGATAGACCCCTTCAAATTGTTCCCCACCAGCAACTTTTTGAGTGATAACATTTGCCATACCTCTGAGGGCAGGCTCCCTTCAAAATCATTGCCAAGCAAATCTAGCCTGCGCAAGTCAGTCCACAGCCCAATGGAAGAAGGGATGGTTCCATGAAATTGGTTCAGAGCCAAATCAAACATTCTCATGGTGCTACCAAGGGTGACACCACAATCCGAGGGAAGAGTTCCTGTGAAAGAGTTCAGATCTACCTGAAGCTCCTCCAGACCAGAGAGATGCCATATGCTATCAGAAATGCTGCCACTGAACTTGTTGTTGGCCACAACAATCCTCCGCAGCGGTTTCCCACCAAGATTGCCAAGCTCAGATGGGAGGCTGCCAGAGAAAGAGTTGTTGTAAATGTAGAGTTCTACCAGGCTTGTGAGCAACCCAACTTCCGTTGGGAATTGTCCTGTGAACAAGTTGTCTCTCAAGAAGAGATATGTTAGATTGCCCCAGCCCTGGAAGGGGCTCCCTTGGATAGTACCTGTGAAACCATTCCAAGCTAAACTCAGATACTCCAAAGTAGCAATGTTGCCCAATTCTTCAGGAAGTGTCCCTGTCATTTGGTTGTCTCCAACACTAAAATGCGACAGGTGCCGAGAGAGACCGAGTTCCGACGGAATCCTGCCACTCAGTTGGTTGCCAGCCAAATCCAGATAAGTTTTGCTGCTCTGTGCTGCAACCATGCCTTCTGGGGGCAGAGTCCCCGTTAACAGATTGTTATTGACAGCAAATACCCAAAGAATCGGGAGCTTCCATATCTCAATTGGAATGGTCCCACTCAAGAAACTATCACCCAAAGTGAGAGCTTGCAAACTAGTCAAAAAGCCAAGTTCCCTTGGGAGAGAACCCCTCATGGAGTTGTGAAAAAGTGCCAATGCATTGAATTCTCCTTCAGTTGTGCACGCATCAAAGTGCAGCGGCGGAAGAGAGGCCTGGTTGAACCAATCGAGGCATTCATCTGCATCATAATCCATCCAATTTTCATTCCCCTTCCAGTCATCTCCGTTTGTAGCATAATATAATGTGGCAAGGACAAAACGTTGCATCAGCTTGCCTTGGGTGTAGTTCTTCCTGTTTGGATCATTCTGAAGCCACTGGTAGGCCTGGAACTGTGACGATTCAGGATCATCCAGTATGGCTTCTTTTGTGTGCATTGGTAGGTCAAGGATAAAATCAATTGTTGGAGATGGTGAGGGGGCAAAAGATGGCGATGATGACGTTGCTTGGGCAACACTGCCATCTGCAGGTTCTCGCAATAGGACAGTTGGGATAACAATTGCAATCACAACAAGGACCAGCCAGCACCCCAATGCCCATGGAAATTCTATTTTGTCAGAACCCCTGGTTGGCATAATTCTATGTCCAACAACCTCCTCAGCCCTCTCCAGATCCTCCACTGGGGTCGCACTCGGGATTTCGGTGTTGTTGGGCACTGTGGGCACTACACCATGACTGAGGTCAAGGTCTGTTGCTTGCTCGGTGCGCTCATCCATTACCCCGCACAGAGCGTATGCCCCAGGAATGCCATTGGGTTCTTCGGGAGCTTGTTGCGGTGGGATTTCAACTCCGATGGCAAGGCTCGACTTCAGTGTCTTTGCACCTGTACCAGTACTGTCCAGGTTCTCAACAGACTTGCAATTGCTAGCATTTCCGGCTGCCAAAGTCTTCTCTCCCGTACCGGAACCAGTTTCTTCTGTCAGAACACCACCACTATTCTGGAGAGGGATATGTCCTTTGGCTACAAGATCGTCAACAATGTTGTCATTAGCATGGTCAGTCATAGTTTGGCCTTGGTGCACGGTGGTTACTCCATCCATCAGGGGGTCTATCACCGAACTCTGAGACGATCCAACAAGGATTACGTGGATGTTTTATGACCTGTTCTTGGGCTCTTGCGAGCCTTGACCTGCTGCTTCCTTTTATTTGCGGTAACTGTATGACGCCACAGTTGCCGAATGATGATGAATCGAATCGAATCAGCTGGTGATGAACTGGTAACCGGAACTAGCTAGTACACACAGTTGCCGATTATCAATCCAGAATCGCAATCACTCATTAACACTCCCGAAAATCCTTTCAAAAGGATAATGACCTGTTTCAGCTCATAAATCACAGAGACATCATTTGCAGACATCTGTTCAGAATTCGACATTCTCCGACAATCACAATTAAGTAGTTTTAGGCTCTAGGAATAGAAGGCTTTGAATGCTTTAAGGCTTTCATGCTTTCATCGTGAGTGTTTCAGAAAACACTTCCTCTGAGCTCCTCGGCTACTTAAAAAAGTAGCTACTGTACATGACAGTAGACTCTACCAGGTACTCAGTTTATATGCAGTAGTACATGTACTACCTATTAATAGCGTACTAGGTACCAGTACTACCCAGTACCCAGCCTTTAAATCTGAGTCGAATCTCAATCCATTGGCATCCTTCATCTTTATCATAAATCATGCTCAGAGCCTTAATTCCGTTGTTGGTTGCCGTTCCGTGATTCGATTGGTTTACTCGTACAGCTCTCAGCTCTCGTACGGTACGAACC